AACAGGATACACAGAGATCACTTAGAGATCAGTGTCCTCAGGAAGCCACCATCGCTTAGGCTGAAGAAACAATGGGCAGAGTAAGGACTAGGTTCATCACAGGCCATAAGCAGGCCCCTGGAAGGTGGCCCATGGGACCCGGAGCAGCAAAGGACACGCAACCTGGGAAGATGCCCAAAGCTGTCTTCTCCCTTCCTCCCACTCTCTAATCCCGTGTCTCTCTCTGGTCAGATACAGCAAAACTTCAGCCCCGAATGGGACCCAGGGAGGTCCAGCCACAGGGGGTCAGTGCCAGTGTCATAGAACAGAACAGTGGAAAGACAGATGTGGCAAGGGCCAAATGGGCCTAGTCGCTGATCCAAGGTTTCTTCTAACTCTTTAGTTGTTCCAACCCACTGGTTGGATAAATTACTGAATGGATTAGTAAATATATTATCAGTAATTTCTTCATTCATTTAAAAATGTTCCTAGCTGCTTATAGAAAACACAATGAGGAAGCTCTATGTGTCTCTAGTATTGTAATTTTATTTCTATGACAAACACAGGCATGAAGCTTGGAAAAATTCAAAGCCTTGGGCTGAGGGTATAGTTCAGTGGGATAGCACATGCTAAATAGGCATGAAGTCCTGGGTTTAATCCCTTCAAAGAAGGATGAGGGGGAGAAAAGAAAGGGGAGGGGGAGAAGAGGAGGGAGAGGAAGAGGAAGAGGAAGATCACCCAGTTCTATCTCCTTTATTTAGCTTTTTGAAAACCTCAAGGAAGATCACTGACAGCACCGGTAAACCAGGTATTAAAATACAGCCTAAGAAAATAAGATGACCTTAACCTGGTTCTGTGACAAGGCAAGGGCAGAGATGTCATCATGAGGTTATTTATTGAGTTATGTCCTCTCTTCTCTCCTCAGGGCATGCCTAGGCACGGCTCAGGCGATCCGTGGCCTGGCCGCAGCCGTTTCCTTCCCAGCTCTAGCTCTCTTCCGTCCGAAAGCAGGGCGTGCTGTGAAGAGGAATGACCCTGGCCAGGGTGGTGGCTCACACTCAAGATTTAGACACGGTCTAACTTTTACCTCCAGCTAGGAGGCACAGCTTGATTTTCAGGATGGCTTGGCATCAGGGAAGTGTCCTCAGAGCAGACACTAAGGAGGGAGAACAGCAGCTATGGCTGGGATAACTCAGTTTTCAACCCACATGGGAAACCATGTCCTGATATTGCATGTTTCAAACAGAATCTCATGTTCCCCAGACTGGCCTCAGACTTACTATGAATCTGAGCATGACCTTGAATTTGAATTCTCTTCCTTCTACCTACCAAGGGCTAGAATTGCAGGTGTGCATAGCCCCATGTGCTGGCTAATTGTGAGTCAACTTGAACAAGCTAGAGTCATTGGAGAGGAGGGAACCTCAATGGAGAACATGCCTCCATAAGACTGGGTTGTAGGCAAGCCTGTAGGGTATTGTCTTATTAGTCATCAGTGGCGGAGGGCTGTCCCTTTGTTGGTGGCGCCATCCTTGTGCCAGTGGTCTGGGAATTCTGTAAGAAAGCAGGCTGGGCAAGCCATGAGGAGCAAGCCAGTATGCAGCACCCCTCCATGCCTCTGCATCAGCTCCTGACTCCAGGTTCCTGCCATTTGAGTTCCTGTCCTGACTTCCTCTGATGATAAAACAGTGATATGGAGGCATAAGCTAAACACTTTCCTCCCTGACTTGCTGGTGGTTCATCCCCAAGGCATTTCCAGGTGTGGTCTTCTCACCACCTCCATCCTTCTGCCCCCAATTCAACCACACCTGCCTATGCGTTAACCACTGAATCAGAGTCTGTGGGTACGGAGTCCAGGAATAAGTCTGCTTTCCCCTTAAAAGTCGGAAAAAAACAAAAGATGAAGTTCTCCGCCTAAGAGGTGCCTAAATGATGAGCTCAAGCAAAGCCAGCACCCTACCAGGTGAAAGCCTTCCAGCGCCACCAGCCAGTTATGCTGAGAGGGCATTGTGTTACTACTGCTTGCCTTAGAGAATAGCTTAAGTCAGTGGCTTCCCAGTATTGTAGTTACTTAAACCCCCTTGGGATGATTAAGGAAAAAAACTTTTATTAAAATACACAAAAAGTAATCTGGGCATTAATTTAACTCCAGCACTTGGAAGGCAGAGGCAGGTAGACCTCTGTGAATTTGAGGCCTGCCTGGTTTACAGAGTGAGTTCTAGGACAGCCAGGGCTACATAGTGAGATCTTATCTCAAGAAAACCAAAACCCAAAACACCCATACATATAGACACACACACACACACACATTGTGCATGTGCGTTTGTGGTAAATATATGTTTAAATGTAAATATATTTAAATGTAAAATGCTTTATATGTATGTAAATATATATAATTTGACCTTTCCAATCTGTTGATAAATTGGTTGATACCTCAGAGACCAGTAAGGCAGCAGTCCCAAGCATATTAGCTGCTGTAGAGTGCTTCTCTGCCATATAGCTGTCATTAAAAGCAACAGAGTACTATTTAACACTGACTTCCAGGAACAGGTAAAACTTGACCAACTTTATTAGATCTTAGGAACTCAGTCAAAGCCCTTTTAATAACTATATTAAAAGACAAAATACATACTCACAAAAAACAACCCACTGCTGAACTCCCTGAAGCTATGACCAAAGCATATACATTATCATCTAATTTGCAAGTTAAAGTAGCCGCTTGATTTACAGAGTTTGATTTCACCTAGGGAAAACAAAAGATGGACAGGGGCTGTGGTGTGTGTGGTTTAGTGGGTAAAACACTCATTGTATGAGTGTAAAAGTCTGACTGCAGATCCCCAGAACCTACGTGAGGCTGGACAGATTAACCCATGTGTAACCCCAGTGTGCTGCAGAAGGATGGTGGTGGATACAGGCATTCCTGGAAACCTGCGCACCAGCTAGCCTAAGCCACAGAGATCAGCAAGAGATTAAACGATGTGTAAGACCAAAGGGCCAACAGCTCTGACCTCTACACACCTGTATACACACAGTCACACGCGCCTCTACACACCTGTGCTACACACAGTCACACGCACTCTTAAAAAACAGACAAATAATGTTTAGCAGCTATTTTCTCAGAAAAAAATGGGATTCAAGGAAAACTAAAAGTATCTGTTACTGATGATAAAACACAAATTTTCAACCCTTTCCAATCAGCAGTATTCAGCACCTTTCTGAAGTAGAATGTTCCAGTTTCCTCAGATACTCTTCTTGTACCTAAGCTCTCCTCTCTTTTGGTGTTCTTTTCATGTGTGTCTGTCCGAGAGCAGATTCTGTACACATACTAAAACAGTGCATTGCATCACCCTGGATGCAGAAACAGATCCAAATCTCCAGCTGTGTTCCATTAAGCCTCATGTAAGAGATACCCAGGAAAGTGTGAAACCATGGCCTTCATAAAACTTTACTTAGTTTTTTGGAAGATATGCTTAGCTTTTATAAACATGCTATATATGCTAAGGTATGGTAGATTAATTTTGAAATGAATAAATGATATTTGGATTTTCTCTTTTTAGTTTGATATAATATTGACAGACACAGCTACATTAACAAAGGTGTTTTTGCTAGCCTCGGTTATTGGAGTCTTGATATCAAGATGGTTTCAGCATCTCTAGTATGGTTCCATTCTGGGGTTACAAACCCAGGAGGCACATCTAGTTACAATAATTTGGACCTCTTTCCTTTTATAAGGAAATGATTAATTTAGTAAGAGCCTAGAGAATTCAAGTTAAGACTTTGCAGCAGGGTAGAAAATTGTTATTACCTCCCTCAGCTAAAAGGAAGGACACACAAGTGTGGAACTCAATGAATTGTTTGGGAATTCACTTTTGGTGCTTTTAGGAATCACTTTTGGGTCCACAGGTCTCCCTGCCAGCATCTTTTAAAGTTTCTATGTCCCCACTGGCCTCACATTTTAGCCAGTTACCACTGAAGTCCTTTCTTTGGGCCACCCCAGAATCCATGGTATAGCCTTGCATGGAGTGGCTCTCTGAGGTGGCTGGTGATAGACATGAACTCTCACCCATTTCCTTGGCTCTCTTTAGCTTTTACACAATACCAGGTATCAACACATGTTTCCCACAGGATTGCTAAGTAACAGAGTAGGGTGGAGACTTTGGATAGAAATGCTTCAGTTACACAATGGTTTCTCTCTACCCCACTGTTTCCTTTCTCAGAATCGCAGTTTTCTTGAACGCACACAGACCTAGGCTTCAGAGTTCAAAGTCTCCACTGGCTTAGCCCAACTCTACAGCTTCTTCCCTTTATACTGTGGAGGAATTACTTAACTCATTTGCACCCCAGTTTTGCATGTGAAGTATAACTAGTCTGTTTAACATAGAAGAAACATCCAACAGTGGCTCTAGTGAACAGAGGAGGGAGCCACAGGAGTGCTGTCCCTCTTGGTACAGGGAGTGCAAGCTTAGTCCGATTCAGAGTTTTCCCCTGTTGGGCCAAAGCATGACACCTGGCTTGATCCCTGTTAGTCAAGGTGACATGTGGACACAGGTTTCCAGCCAGTGGAGCTCATGGCTGTGAGTTAGATATTTATTAGTCATATTAAGGAGGAAATGGCATTGGCCTTTCTACATACAACCCCATTGTGGTATTGTCATAGTTTCTTGACAAGAAACACTACTTCTTGGAGGGAGGAAATGGAAGGGGAAATGACATAGTTATATTGAGTCAAAAAAGTAAAAAGAAATCTTAAAGTTATGTGCCTTCTTAGTATGGTCTTTAAAAAGACCTACTGTTGGCATTGTTTGAGGTAGAATGCTTTTATTATGTGCATGTTATACACAATGCTCTGCGAAATTCAGGAGCACTAAAGCTAACTTAAACAGCAAGATAAAAACAATTATATATATATGTATATGTATACATATACATATATATTTTTTTATTCCTCCTTCTCAGTATTTTCATAGCTGGCCATTTTCTCAAACACCGAAATGTGACAAATGTCTGTACAAGCTCTCACTGACCTGTCTGTTGTCTTCCTAGCTGTACCCAGAGCGATGCTGCTGTTTATCAAGTCTCTGCAAGAAACTGCATGGGGATGATCTGCTGTTCAGCATCCATTGAGGTCCAGTGTCTGCAGGACACACAAGTGTCTCCTGACCCGGTAGGTGGCAGGGATGTGGCTGGCCAACGTGAAACAGAGATACAAGAAGACAGCATAAATCACTCGGAGGAGAACTGGAGTCCCTGTAAGGAAGAAGGAAGTATGGCCCCGGGGGTTTGCGTGTCAGCTGATTCCCACAAATTCAACCACTCATGTTCACCCCAAAGAGTGGCCAATTATGAGTCCGGTGCTTCCGATTCTGAGGATCCTCCAGATGCCAAAGAGACAAGACAAAGGACAGAGCCTTACAAACCAAATAACACACAAGAAAGTTCCTTTCATTTAGATAACACCACTGGAAAACAAGATGCATGCCAGCATAGGACAGTGCACACCAGTGTCCCAGGGTTAATTGGTGATGGCCTAGGTAGCAAAGGGTCTAATGAGGAGGGTGCTACCCTTAGTCATCAAAACCCCAAAGGACAGAAATACATCAGTTTCAGTCTTCCACTGCCGGAGGCAACCCTGTGTCCTTACCCAGGTGACAGCAACTCCATCTGCATGCAGTCGGGCCCACAGGCTTCCAGCGAAGACTCTGACAGTGACTATGAACTTTGCCCAGAGATAACCCTAACCTACATGGAGGAGTTTTCGGATGATGACCTGGAGTATCTGGAATGTTCCGATGTTATGACGGATTACTCTAATGCCGTTTGGCAAAGAAGCCTGCTGGGAACTGACCGAGTTTTTTTATTAGAGAGCGATGACGAAGAGATGGAATTCAATGAGTGTGGTCTGGGTGGGTGTGAGCATTTCCTCAGTGAAATGGGTTGTGGGCCTCGGGTGTCGGGTGACATGGGGCCTACGAATGCCACCACTGGCTTGTGCAGTTATCACTCACAACCCCAGGAAGTAGGGGTCAGGAGCAGCGGAACCTCCAGGCATAGTCCCTTACCCCTGCATGCAGGAATGACTCTTACTCTGGGACCTCACCAGGATGGAACCGCGAAAATGACTGAACAGGGAAGGACTCCACTCCCTGCTGCTTCCGAGGCTGTTGAAAATGATTGTCCAGGAATCCGGGGAGAAACCAGAGACAACCCTGAAGCAGGAGAGGAATTCTCCAGTGACAGTCTGCAAAGCATGGATAAGGCAGAGACAGAGGCACAGGTGAAGTCCTTGTCTAGAGGGTTAGACGAGTCAGAGGTGATGCAGGGTTTGAAAAGCTTGCCTGGGAAAAGAGCAGATGAAAAGCACCAGGGCAGCAGGAAGGCTGCCCCGAGACCCACCAGGGCCAGGCGGCCCGGAATGAAGGCAAATGCCAAGAAGCAGCTGCAGAAAGACAGTGTCCCCAAAGGCACGCTTGATCCGCTCCCCAAGGAATCGACTAAGCACCCCTTAACCGCGAGCTATGGACGAGAGCCCACACAGTCTGAGGCAGGAGCTCCTGGCTGGAATGCCCACTTCCATGCAGAACTGTGTATTCCAATTCCTGCACAGCAAGACTCCAAAACCCCTCGACCACCGGCAGAGCCTCTTCGGAATGAAGGGGACACAAGGTTTAAGGGAGAAGGGGAACTGTTTACTAAATTATCTGAAGCAAGACAGATTCCAGACCAGACTGACCATCTTCAGGTAAGACCTGTTTTGTTTGGTTTTTTAAGCTTTGAGAGGAAAGGGGTGTCCGTGTGCGTGTGCATGTGCGTGTGCATGTGTGTGTGCATGTTCATCACTTCACACTCATAATTCTTGTACTATAATGTAAATCAAAATAAAGATCCCGGTGCCACCGGGGTGCTTGTGAATGACAGCTGCTGTTTCGGCAGCTAGGAAGGAAATCTGGCTTTGAAAAAAGGCCCAGATAAACCCTGAGCCATCCTAATTATAGCAAAAGAGTGATAGAGTAAGGGCACTAATGGGGTTCTGGACAGCTGGAAAAAGAAACCTGATATTTTGCCTACTGCATGTGTTTTACTAGCAGTGCTCGCTATTCTGAAAGTTCCTCAAGTAAATGCTCATGCTGTAGCCTTGAAAGGGAGGGGAGCCCATTCTTTCTGGTCATATCTCCCCCACACTTTGAAAATGGTCGACTTTGGCTTTAGTCACAAGGCGTAATGAAAGTGGCAGGCTTTCGGTGGGAGCGAAAAACTTATGGGATCTGCTTGCCGTGCTGGAGAAAGCAGGCAGAGTTCATCTTGTTGTGCAGTACAATGCTTTTGATTGGGTGTTTGCCTTGTTTTGCTTTCCTCAGGCCACAAAGTATAAAAGAGGCCAAGAAAATGCCAAGAAGAGAATGTATTGTCCCGTAATAATGAGTTGGGTATGATTTTTTAGTTCTGACTTGAAAGAGACAGAATTATAGGAATAGTTAATGCATAGAGAATATTACGTCTCATATACTTGTGTTTTTAATTATTTAGTTTTATAACAGGTTTTGGACTGATGGTATACTACAGTCAAGATTTGACTTTTGGAAACAAATATCTTTAGAAATGTCTGTATATATGTTTGTATCCATCCATCTATCTATCTATCTATCTCTATCCATCCATCTATCTATTATCTAGCTATCATAATTACTACTATTATTACCATCTTACAATACATCTTGTTAATCCCAAACTTGAAGAGACACTGATATTTCTTACTACCTGGGAATCTATATTAGGAATCTGGTATTATTTTTATAGATAACTCCAAAGGAATAGTCCCTAGTGCAAAGTAACTGAGCCCATTGTGAAGAAATAACAAAAACCAGTGCTCTGGTTTTCTAGAGGTCCTGTCATAAAATAGCCAAAGTACAAATGTCCAGACCTGAGCTCTAGATGAGCCAGTTGCTCTGTTCTGCTGGTGAAATTAGCCAGATGGAACCCGCTTTTCTCCTCCTGCAGGCAAGCCAGCGTTGTCCATTGTGTTCCTTAGCCATACCATGGAGAAGCTCACACACCACGGCCACAGGCCTATGCACATGAGCGGTGCGCAGAGGAGGCTTGAGTAACTGTTAGTTTGAAGTGTCTGTGTTAACCTTTTCATGTCATTAACACACAATGTCCCTTTCTAGTCATCAGCACCCTATCTTTCCCAGCTAAGCAACTTTCTACAGCTGTTTGTGCAGTGAGAACATGTTTCCTTAGAGATGACTTCCCTGTTAGAGGATGGGGGAAGACAAGGGGGCTCACGTGGAGTAAGTGGGAGGGAGGCGGTTGACAATGTCAGCTTTAGACACATCCCTGTGAGAAGCAGGGTCTAGACCTGTTAACTGTGGTGAGGAAGGAAGGGACCCCGCTTTCCTCAGTGTGTGCCCTAACCCGAATTGGAGATGAGCGCACCTGTGGCCAGCAAGCTCACTGGCTTACTGAAAGTGCAGTCAACTAAAATGCAGTCTTTAGGGCAGAGACTGCCGTGGGCCGTCTGCCAGAGTCCTTTGTGAGTCTCTATCCACCCTGCCTTGACTGCTGTTTTGTAGTGTGATTGGTGATTAATGAAGACCCTGAACTTGCCTATACAGAAAACTGGCTGAGGAGTTTGCATTTTCTGCAGGGAGTGGGCCTGTGCCTCCCCTTGCAGGAGTCAGTAGCAGAGCTGACCTTGCACCCCAGCCACAACTAGGAACCCAAATGGAGTTTGGGCATGAAAGAGCAGTTCTGCACAGCCTTGAGCAAACGTGGGATGTTTGTGCCAGTGACATTTCCTCTCTTGAAATTAAAGCCAGAAGATTTTTCCCTCTGGCATTGGTTGGTATATGTAAAAATGCAGATTCTTTTAGACATGTGAAAAGTTCCTATTTACTTACAGGAGATGTCTTTATTTCTTACACACTGCAAAACCATGGCCAACAGATAGTAAATGGCTAATTATTATTACAAATTTGGCACAGAAATATGGGAGTTACTGGGAATTATATGAAACCTTATATAATATGGTGCAGGAAAACATGACTTTTTTCTGTTGCTGAGTCCAAAGACATTTTAAATATTTATTCTCTGAATTTTGAGGCTTGGGCACCTAAGGATTTTTTGAATGGCTTAAAATCCTGCTTTAGGATACATATTAATAAGTTTTCCCACCCTTGAGTCTAGTTTGATCCACTTACCTAGAGCTGTCTTTTTGTAGGAAGTGACTGGCAGCTTCTTTTAACATTTTATCTTCATTTGTACATCAGGTTTAGCATTCCGAGGAACATTCCATGTCTCTAATTGCCTGTGTTATTCTGTAAGGGCCTCTTGCAGAATATTTCCTGCCTGACTCACGACACTCAGGTGTCTTTACTTTCTGTGGTCTCCCGTCTCTTTCACAATGTAACACCATCTTGTTAGGCATTGTCTAGAAATAGTTCCTGACCCAGGCTAGGATTGGAAAGCCCCCAGTTCCTCTACATTTATGGAAGATTCCAAGGCTCCTTCCAGTTTTGGAGTGGAAAATAGAGAAGGGTACCCCAGGCTAACTTGAATCCCCATCAAGGATCACACTGCCTACTCTCCGTCTTGTTTTTTAGCTCATGTTCTTGATCCAAGGCCTGCAACTCTGCCCATCTTAAGTTTCTCTCCCCACCTTAAGCTCACCCACGCTTTGAATTCCCAAGTGCCATGTCTGCTTCACTTCAACCCAGAGAGATTTGCGTTTCCTTTTGAAATCCTGACACTACGAATGTACATTATGGGTGTGTAGTCTCAGGTCCGGGGGTTGAAGATCTTGCTGATGAGGAATTAGCACTAATCATAGTGAGCCAGCTGCGTGGTGGAGCAGAATTTGGTGTATGTCATATCAAGGGTTAGGGTCGTGGCCGCCGCATAACAGGCATGCAGTCATCAGGTGAGTAAGTAGCCACACAGTAGGGGATTGACTACCTGGTTAGGCAGGACGCTGATGACTATTGATCACTTCACATTCTTTCGTTATCTCCACATGTGAGATACTGCTGTCAACCTTCCACAGGCAGGATGCCCTTCCATCGGCTCTTCTGGCCCTGGGAATGGGTTGGTTTATTCTGAAGCCTAGAGGCATAAGCTGTGGGGCGTGACCCCATAATGAATGTGGAGGGTCAGGAAAAGTTTAGCCACGGCAAAAGGTTTCTGAACATGCACCAACCAAAAGTTAATTCAAAATCAAGTACATTAGTTACATTATGCACATTAATATAATTACATGTGTAATATATACACAATATAATCATAGTGTATACACCCTGGTTCAGGGGTGTTTCTGACTGTAGTGGCCTGTTTGCATTGTGGGATGTCACTGCAGCACTGGCTCTGTGCGTTTTGTGCCGGGCATACCGCCATCATACCACATAGACCAACCAATGCTGCCGAAGCACCTCCGCTCAGGTGGAGGTCATCGTATCTCAGGAATGTCAGTCTTTTTACTATACATATAAATTTTCTTCTTATATAGATAGGAATAAATATGAAAACCAAAACTTTTCATATTTCCCTACTCTAATTTTTCAGCATCAGCATATCAAATCAGTATATCTTTGGACTGTATTGTGTTATAATCTTTGGTCTTACTGACTTGAGTTTCATTAAAAAAAAATTCATTGGGGACCATGGAGATGGCACAGTCAGTAAAGTGCTTGTTGAACAAGCATGAGGACTGGGATTTGATCCCCAGCACCTGTAAAGGCTGGGGATGCCTAGCACTGGGGAGGTAGAGACAGAAAGGTCCTTGGGGCTTGACGGCCAGCTAGGACAGCTGAAGCGGGAAGCTCTAGGTTCAACCAGATACTTTCTCAAAAAACAAACTATAGAGCTGGAAAGATAGGTCTGTAGTCAAGAGCTTATGCCGCTCTTGCAGAGGCTCTGAGTTCAAGGTGGCTCACAGCTCCAGAGGACTCTAGGCCTTTGGCCTCTGCAGGAAACTGCACTCACACACATACCCCACACCCCTCACACACATGCACAGAATTTAAAAAATCATGAAATCTTAGAAATATCAAGGTAGAGAGTGGCTGAGGAAGACAATGTCAGCCTGTGGCCTCCACACATGGGCAAGCATATTTCCCACCATGTACACACAAACCCTTAAATATGTTTAGCTTGGGGTTAGGGCAGAATAGACAACATTTTTTTCAGGAAGAGCCCTAAAAATAATTTTGCCACCTAGTAATGCATATTAATGCAAAGTGGTGGTCTCGTTATTGACAAGTATAAAATCAAAATATCTATTAACTCTGAAAAAATCATGGGAGATACTTTCTATCTTGCAGTATCAGGTATTCAACTAAGATTTCATTCCTTAGGTTAAAATTAACTATACTGCCTTAACCACCCCCTGTGTCTTTTTATTATTATTATTTTTCAAGACAGGGTTTCTCTGTGTAGCCCTAGCTGTCCTGGAACTCACTCTGTAGACCATGCTGGTCTTGAACTCACAGAGATCCACCTGCCTCTGCCTCCCCAGTGCTGGTATTAAAGGTGTGTGCCACCACTGCCTGGCACCTTTTGTGTCTTGACAAGAGCAACTGACTCAGTTCTGCCAGGAAATCAACCCCACGAGTTCGCTGCCTCTGAGAACATCATAACAGTTGTCATTCTTGGTTGCTCAGTAAGGCTGTCCTCTCTAAGTTGCTTGTTTCCTCCATCTCTAACTTTGAATTCTCCTTCCAGAGAAAGTCACAACACCCTTGCCATTCT